AGCCCCTCATTCTGTCTGCTCTTGCGTAGTAAGGCGAACTAGTACGCAAGTCAAGAGTCGATACTACCCAGACAAGGTCTAGAGCCCAGGAGTCGTTAGAACGGGCTGGGTTTAGTGCTCATGGCGGTAACTGGCAGCATGTCGTCACACTTTGAATTTTTGTTAAACCCCTCCCACCCCTGGAGCACAGCACGAGAAAAGTACTTTGTACCTGAGCAGGCACGTCAATAGAAATGGTCAGTGCATGCATAGGTGGTATTTGACCGAATCGAGCATGCGGCATGAAAAAAAAAAAAAAACTAAGTGCCAGACTGGGGGACCAACTTACTAAGACTGCAATCATGATTTGTGGGGGGTTCCGAGTTCGCAAGCCAGGGTATGTATTGATGCATATGGAGTGGGAAAAAAAAAAGCATCAAGAGTCGTCCATTATGGCACCTCTCTGAGTCTGAGAGAGAAAGAGAGAGAGAGAGAGGGAGAAAAGAAAAAGAAAAGAGAGAAATCGAGTGCCTAGTCTACACTGCTGTGCCCTCAACCCGAAAGGGACGACAGAGTACACAAGAGGCAAAGTAAAGTCAAAGGGGGAAAAAATACACATTCAAAGAAAGTACAGGATGTAGGCTGTTTTTGTGTTGACATACAGGCAAGAACAGAAACATCTGCCACCGCCGCCGCCTCCAATCATGGCATCCATTTATCCAGAATCCCAGGTTTTCTTTTCCATTTCCCCAGACCGTGACATGACCGGCCAACCTGCATGCATCTGAAAGTATCTAGTGTACGTACTAGCAGGCCCAGTCGAGTCACCAAAGAGAGTCCGTGTTTGAAATTTCATTCGCCTTCCATAACACCCAACTATAAATATATAAATATATACACATGTATATGTTCCTTCGTCCGCACCAACAAAGTCTCGTACATTTTCACACTTCTATATCTAACCGTACTTGCCCCCCATCCCCCCTCCTCCCTTCTCCTTCCCATCAGCAGAAACTCCTCTTGCAATACTTTACCGGAACACACACCAATCAGCACCTGTTCTAGTGTAAAAACGACTGCGTAGTGGTACATCTATAAGGCGACCCACCTCAAAAAACTAAACCCTCCTTCCTCACTAACGTCGCTGTTCCCACCTCTATCTTTCTTTCTCCTCCCTGTTGCCGCTGCCGAGGGGTTTTGAAAAAAAAAGTTTTGGTTCCTGACATCAGAAAACGCCAAACCACAAGACATACACACCACACCGCACGTACAACCACCGCCCATCATGTGCCCGACACCCGAATCCAGCTCCGATGAGCGCAACAAGGGCAACGCCTACAAGGCTGGCGGTAACGTTGGCAGCTTCAAGATCATTGAGTCCACTCTCCGAGGTTCGAACAGCCCCTCCTACCCATGATATATACACACATACATACAACAGAGGAAGGAGAAGGAGAAGAAGAGGAGGGGAAGGCGGAGGAGGAGGAAGAGCAATTCGAGAACGAGAAGTGTTCTCTACGACTATCCGCCTACCTGCCTGCCTGCCTGCCTGCGAGGCGCTTGGAATCATTTTTCGACTTCCTCTTCTGCTTCAAGCAACTGCTGACTCTTTTCTTCAACATAGAGGGTGAACAATTTGCCAATGCCTACTTTGATACCGAAACCAAGATCAAGATGTAGGTCCTTGTCCTTCTCGCAATGCCCGGCGTGTCACGTCGGTTTCTTTAGTCTTCTATCTTGTTGTACATGCTAACAAGTCTTCTTCCCTTCTTTGCAGTGCCAAGGGTTCGTTGTATACGCATTCCCCATTTCGGGCGTCCGTTCTCTGACTGCAATAATATAGCCCTTGATGCCTTTGGTGTTGACTGCATCGAACTGACCTCCCCGGCTGCTTCAGAGCAGTCGCGCAAGGACTGCGAGGCCATCTGCAAACTTGGTCTCAAGGTGAGTTTATTCTCCGTGCCCCCCTCTGGCGCCATGACGCAGGCCATCGGCAGCTTTCCACCTTCAGGAGCATTGCTAACCGGATATCATTCCCTAGGCCAAGATTCTAACTCGTGAGCAACCCCCCTCATCCTCTGCTACCAACCCAACGATCCGCGGCCTAACAGGAAGAACTCGGCAGATGTTCGCTGTGACATGAGAGACGTCAAGCTGGCTATTGATACAGGTGTCGACGGACTTGACATTGTCATCGGCACTTCGCAGCACCTTCGCGAGCATTCCCACGGAAAGGACATGGCCTACATCCAGAAGACTGCTGTCGAGGTTATCAAATACGTCAAGGAGAAGGGTCTCGAGGCTCGTTGTAAGTTGACTCAATCTGTTTCTAAACCCCAGCAAAATTCGTACTCACAACCATGTAGTCTCCAGCGAAGATTCCTTCCGATCTGACCTTGGCGATATCCTCACCCTCTATGCCGCAGTCGACAAGGCTGGTGTCGACCGAGTTGGTGTGGCCGACACTGTCGGTTGCGCAAGCCCCCGTCAAGTATACGACGTATGTCTCCGCTCCCATTCGCTCCCGGCTGAACCACAGACTTACATGCTGCGTAGCTTGTTCGGACATTGAGAAGTGTTGTCTGTAAGTCACAGCGTCTACCCCGAATGCAGCGCATGGTCATTACCCAACAAGCTGGACTAACTTCAACTAATAGCCTGCGACATTGAAACCCATTTCCACGACGATACGGGTTGCGCCGTCGCCAACGCGTACGTAATATATTTTCCCCCAGCGCAAGACTAGGGGCCCGACCGCCCACCTCGCTTCTATGACGGTAGACTAACTGGCAATCTACAGCTTCTGTGCCCTCGAGGCTGGCGCTACCCACATTGATACAAGTGTTCTCGGCATTGGCGAGAGAAACGGCATTAGCCCCCTCGGCGCTCTCATGGCGCGCATGGTGGTGACAAGCCCCGACTATGTCAAGAGCAAATACAAGCTGCACATGATCAAGGAGGTTAGTTGATGCGACTTACTTTCTCCGAGCGAAATTATCTGTTCCGGATCCAGTACAGCTCGATAATGACCGCTCGTATGGCTGACTCTGGTGTGAATATGTAGATTGAAGATCTGGTTGCCGAGGCCGTACAAATCAACATTCCATTCAACAACCCCATTACCGGTTTCTGCGCATTTACTCACAAGGCTGGTATCCACGCCAAGGCCATCCTCAACAACCCTTCGACATATGAGATCATTAACCCGGCAGACTTTGGTCTCACCCGCTATGTCCACTTCGCCTCGCGGTTGACCGGCTGGAATGCCGTCAAGACTCGTGTCGGCCAGCTCGGTCTGAGCATGACAGACGACCAAGTCAAGGAATGGTAAGTCACCATGTCGAGCTCTTGTGGACGAAACATCGCTGAAAGCTAACCCGTATAACAACAGTACCGCCAAGATCAAGGCACTGGCTGACGTGCGCCCAATTGCCATTGATGACGCCGACTCCATCATCCGCAGCTTCCACTTATCTATTGACCCAAGTGGTGGTGGTGCAAACGGCGATGCAAACGGCGTGAATGGCACATCAAATGGTACATCAAATGGCACGGAAGTTAGCGCATAAAGCAATACGCGCAAATTTAGCTGATAGTAAAATTAAAATATGGAGTTTTAGGTTGTTTAAATTTAAAAAACGGTTAAATAAGCAGTATTATTAACAAGCATATATTTTTATAAAATGCAATTTAAAAAACGATTAAGCGTTAATATAAAAAATTAACCGAACGTAATTTTATTAAAAATTATTAATATATAAAGTTATTATAACGATTATATTACGGGTTTTTAAATAAACTTAAATATAAGGGTATTAAGGGTTTATGCTAATAAGGAACGTTAAATAAAATATTAAATTAAATAAAAAGTAATTAAAAATAATTTTAAATTAATATTATAAATATAATCGTTAAAGTGTATTAAATGCTTTATTTATAAATAAAATAAATATTTAAAATAATTATTAAAATAATAATTGTTTATATAAGAAATCTTTTTGTAATATATTTATTTATTCCTTTATTAATATTCCTTTTTTATTTTGCTATATTTATAGCTATTTATAAGTGATTAATAAAATTTATTAATTACGATTAATTTGTCTTAATCTGCTTTATTAATTTAATGCTTTTTTAATAGCTGCTGCTAATTATTATAAGTGACTAAGGTTTTATTTATCTTTTACGGTTTTTCGGTCTTAAGCCCTTTATTCATTTTTTTAATGCTAATTAAGGTTGGTATTTAGTTAACTAATAATTAACTAACGTTAATTAACTAAAAACTACATTTAATTTAGTTTTTAATTAACTAAATTTAGTTATTTAAAATATTAACTAAAACTAAATTAATTTAATTAACAGCTTAGTTAAAACTAAAGATTTTAGTTAATAAGGTGATTAAAACTAAATTAAATTAAATAATTTAATTTTTAGTTTTAGTTAATTAATTAACTAAAAATTTAATTTCATTTATAATTAAATAAATTAATTAATTATAATTAAATAAATTAATATCAGGGTTGGCATTGAGTTAACTGGCAGTTAACTTAAGTGAGTTAACTCAAACTCAATTGAGTTGAGTTATTAACTTAACTCAATTGAGTTATTAAAACCACTAACTCAAACTCAATTGATTTAGTTAGCAGGCTGAGTAAAACTCAATGATTTAGTTAATAGGTAAACTTAAACTAAATCAATTGAGTTAAGTTAATAACTTAATTAACTTACTAACTTAAAGATAAATTAATTAAATTAATAAATAAATATTAATTAAATTAAAAAGTAAATATTAATTAAATTAAAAGTTATTAAATAAAACTAAATTAAAATAAAAGAGATATTTTATTATTTTATACTAATTATCTTAAATATAATTAAATAAAAGCAATAAAAGCAATAAAAGAAATAAAAAAAATAAAAGAAATAAAAGAAATAAAACTAATTATCTTTTTCTTTTTTAGGTAAATCGCCCCCTTGTAAAAATTCCTATATTTTTTTTTGCATTTTTTAACCCCCAACTTTTTAATAAGGTTAACTATTTAATAATTTCTGGAGTTAAATTATTTCGTGCTTTAAAAATAATATAACTTAACGTAGAAAAAACCCGTTCTAAAGCCGCTAAAAAAGCTGGAATTCCTAAAAATTGCCGGGCTAATATAGCTAAAACCGGATATTTAAATTAATTATTTTTCCAATAAAGTAACGGATCGTCTTATAAAATAAATTAATTAATAACTTTATAACTAATTATTTTAAATAAAAAAATTAAAAATAACTTATGTTATATAAAGCTAACGGTTCGTTAAGATAAATTTCGCATTCGTTATTTAAAACGACCGTAAATCGATTTAAAAAGAAACTTTCTTTATTCGAATTATCTTATATTTGGTCTTCGTTAGCAAATTGGGTTTCGATTCTACTTTCCCGTTTATTTTTAATCTTATAATAATTTATTAGTTAATTTATTTAATAAAGAATAAAATAAAAGAAAATAAAAAAAATAAAAGAATAAAATAATTTATACTTTATAAGTTTTTTTAAAAAGAATGGTGATATGATCCAGAACCCCTTTATAAAAGTGTAATTTATAACTCCGTTGAAAATGGGTTAATTTAATTCGAGGATCTAAAATAATAGCTAATAAATAAGGGCCGAAATTTTCGATATTATTGGCTGTTACTTTCTTCGGAAAATAATAATCCAATTTTCTTGCACCAGCTCTAATGGCCTGGTTAAGACTTTCTAATAACGGTTTCTAAATAAAAGTTAATATTATAATTTAAATAAAAATAAAATAATGCGATATATATTAAAATAATAAAATAAAAGTTAAAATAATAAAATAAAATAATTTACTTATTAACTCCGGTTTTTCTTTTATTATTTCTTTATATTCGTCGTAAATTACCTTTAATTTTGGATAAAAGGTATAAACGTATAATAAAGACGTTAATAAAGTAGTATAAAATTCACTTTGTAATTTAATACTTGGTTTAACAAAAATCTTTAAAATTCGTTGTAATTGGGTTAATAAAAACCAATCGGCTTTCGAAAAAAAGATTTGTTGAAAATCCGCATGTTCCGTATTTCGATAAATATAAATTAACGGTTCTTTTAATTTAAGAACCGTATTAATTATATTATACGTCGAATTCTAACGGATATAAGAATCTAATTAATAAGTTAGTAAGTAAATAAATAAATAAATAAATAAATAAAATAATAAAATTACTATTGGGAATTTTTGTTTTATTATATTTTTCGGGTAAATTACCATCGGCTTTCGATTTTCGGATTCCTTCGATTAATAATTTATTAATTTTACCCGTATATTTAGTTAAAATAGTAATACGGCGAACCCGATTAATTAAACCTAATAAAATAATTAGTTTATAAAAAGAATTAAAGATAAAATAAAAGTAAATAAAATAATAAAATAAAAATAAAATTAAATAATAAAATAATTTATTATTAAAAGTTGATCCTTCTGGTATTTCAAGTGGTTCATCGTTCGGTAACGAGGGTAAAATAATATTAACATAACGTTGAAGATCTTCGGCTTCGTCGTTATTTAATATATATTCTTTTAAAATACCGTTAATAACGATATTAATTATATGGGTAATATAATGGATATCGCAATCGAATTCGTAGCCCGTATCGTTTTCGTACCGATTTTTAAAAGCCTCGATAAACGTGGAGTTATTTTTTGCATTATTACGGGTAATGCTAAAAAAATAATTAGTTTTAATTTATTTATAATAATAATAAAAGTTAAATAATAAAAGTTAAATAAAATGAAAAATTAATAAAAACGTACCTAGTAATATTTGCAATATCTATTAAAGCAGGGTAAGAATTTAACGATTTTTTAAATTCGTTAAAGATATTAAAACCCGTATGCTTTTCGTTAATTGGATCGAAACCGATTAATTTATAAATTAAATTAAAATCGGGGTCGATATAACAAATAATAATACCTAAATAAGCCGTATTATTATTTGAAGTCTATATATCCGTTATTAACGAAAATTTACCTATATTCTTAATATTCGTATTTAACGAATCATTAAAAAGTGATAAAGAATTCGAAAAAGTGGAATTAAGGACTGTTTTTATTATTCGACGATTAAAAACCGGAATATTTCTAATATTAAATAATTAGTTAGATAATTAATAATAATAATAATAATAAAACTTACGGCTTTAAATAAGTTAATAAGTCTTTAAAAGAATTAGAATTTAAAAGACTAAAAGGTAAATTATTATCGATAATAACGTTTAATAACTTATTGTTAAATTCGTCGTTATCGAAATCGGATGGCATAGTTTAAGTCCTTGGTTTTTTACGATTTATTAAATCGAAAAAAGAATTATTAGATTAAATTTCGGATCCTAAACCCTATATAATCGTTAGTTTAAATTCTTTATAATAATAATTTATCGACCCGGCCCTTAGTAAATTTATAATATTTTGCCCTCCGGCGTAATTTAATTATTAATAAAAATTCGGATTTTTATTAATAATTAAATTCCTAGCTAAATTAAATTATAAAAAACAAAAACTAACGATTATATGGGGTTTATTTTCTTTTTGTTTTGTTAAAAAACTTTTATTAAAAAGTGAAAAGAAAATAACGGGGGCTTACGTTTCTTTTTTGTTTTTTCGGATTCTTTATTAAAAATAATATCCGGATATTTACTTTCGTAATAACGGCCTTAATTCAATGCTCAAAAGGTTTTTACGTCTACGGTAGCTTTATAATTATACCTAAAATTAATTAATTAATTAATTAATTAATAAATAAAATAAATAATAAAATAATAAAAAAGTAAAAAAATAAAAAGTAAAAATTATAAACTTACAAAATGCAATTAATTTCCATTTAACGTTTTTTCGATGGATCGACTGGCTTTAAAGTACGGCTAAATAACCTATTTTTAAAGATATAAATCTGGGATTTTTCCGGTGCTTTAAGTTTAAAGTCCGATTTGTTTTTTTTATCGTTAATATATTTTAAAGATTTTAAAGAAGAGGGTTTCGAAGAAATAAGGGATAAAGCAGAAGATTCCGGTTGTGAATTCGTATAATTAGAATTTTATTATTTTTTTTCTTCGTTAAAAAAATCAGAATTTATTTTAAAAATAAAATAAAAGGGTAAAAATAAAATAAAAAGGTAAAAATAAAATAAAAGATTTTTGCAAAGGGTTAAAAAGATCCCTTATCTAATTATAAAACCATAAAACCATAAAACCATAAGAGTAAATATAACAATATATTAAATAATAGTAATATAATTAAGTATTAAATATTATAGTAATAGTCTATAGTAAAAAAAAAATTAATTATAGATAGGAAATCTATTTCTTTAATATTTAAGTAAAATCCGATTTAAAATCGGACTTAAACTAGATTTTAAATTAATAATCGGCTATAGCGTTAATTTTAAATTAAAAAAACGGACTTTATAGAATTAAAATTAAAAAAATTAATATTATTAGTGGATTTTACGGTAAAAAATAAATAAAATCCATTATACGGATTTTAGATTATTAATTTTAATATTAT